CGGGACGAGAGTGAGGTCAAGACTGGGTAGGGTATGACATAGGGTAGCAAAGTGGTTATTAATTGTCTCAGCTGTCTTCTCACTAGGTAAATGAGAGATAAAAGGAAATGTGCAAGACTAATGGTTAACACCACAGAGATCTTTTACCTTAGAGTACCACTGACCGTTGCCGACCTCCATGAGGCCGTGCAATTTCTTGGGGCAATAAGACTTCTTGGCTGACTTGATTACGTAGACTTTTGGGCAGGCGGCTGTTGGTGTAGTATGCCTTGTTGAGCTGCTCAATTAGTCATTTGATACAGGGTGTAATCCATGAGTGTTGGTAGGCTTTGGTGATTGTGGTAATTATCCCACTTGTTTTGCACATCACTTACCGTGATCACTTCAGTCCAGGGATACCGGGTCACCCATTGTCCGAAACGCCGCATGGCAGAGCCAGGGGTAGGTCGGTAAGTCCTGGTGACAATTGGCGGTCGTGAGATGGGTGGAGAAGGTGACCAGAGCAGATACAGGTGGGTGCTCCGCCTCATGGGAGACAGCGGCTGGGGGGAAGGTAGTGGTGGCCGAGATCAGTCATGATGAGGTCCAGGGTAGCATTCCCATGTGTGGGAAAGTCAACTATCTGTGCAAGGTGGAGGTGTTGGGTGATGTTCCTGATGTCTAACTCATTAAAGTCACTGCCTATCACTAGCTTAGCGCATGGAAATCTGGATCTCAGGGAGTCAGCAGTGTCTATTATACGAGTAATCAGTGTATGTGTGTGTGTGTGTGTGTGTGTGTGTTTGTGTATTCCGAGTGACAGCAAAGTAGTAGAGTAGTAGTAGTGTGTGTGTGTGTGTGTGTGTGTGTGTGTGTTCAACCTCCGCCGTCTCCAGACAATAATAATAATGTCAACCTCCCACCTCCTGGAACTCCAATATGCTGACGACTGCGCGCTCGTTGCTCACTCCCCCAGAGGCTCTCCAACACAGTCTCTCAATTGTTTCCACAATATATTCAGGCCATTGGTTTAAAAATTAACATTCAAAAATCAGAGATAATTGCTCAAAACAGAGGCGTAGACCCACCACCTGCATTCCTGGTCAAAGGAGAACCTGCCAAACAAGTAGAACATCTTACCTACCTCGGTAGTGTTCTTACTCCTAAGCACAACATCGACGAGGAGATCCAGGCTCGGATCCATCTTGCAGTTGCCTCCTCTGGTCGTCTGCGAGCCTCGAAGTTACAACCAAACTTTCTATTTACCAAGCTGTCTGTATTTCCACCATCGAATTTGATTCTGAGGCGTGGATTACGAACCAAAGGCACATCAAATCTCTTGAAGCCTTCCATATCCGTTGTTTGCAGAGCATTCTTGGTCTAACCAGCAAAGAGGCATTTCTGGTGAAGCGACAGCTGCAATGGACGGGATACATCATCAGTATGCCAAAGCACCGACTTCCCCTCCAAATCCTCTACGGGCAGCTGCCCAAGGCAGGCCGCACCTCTAGAGAACAGTGCAAAAGTTACAAAGACCAGCTCAGAATGACGCTCAAAAATATAACATTCCTCCACCTGTGCCCAATGCGCCAAACATCTCCAGAATGAGCGTAATAGGGCCAGATGTGTATTTAGGGAAAGGAGACACAATCACACTGCCAGAGAGTTCCCACCCAATCCTAAGCTGTCCTGCCCAATGTGTGATAGATTCTGCGGGTCAAGCCTCGGAATCCACAGTGGCACCGCCGACAACATCCCTAGTTCACCACTCATCATCATCATCGATTCATAATGAAGCAGAGTCGTCGTCGGCTACAACGAACAGCCTGAAGTAAGTAAATAAGTAAGTAAGTAAGCAAGAAGTAAGTAATTGTATTTGTGTGTGTGCATGTTTTCAAGCTATGCCTGAATTAGATTGTATGCACTAGCTCGAAGTACTACATGCAAAAGTACATAAATTCCGATATCAAATGTGAGAGCTTTTGTTGTATATATATATATATATATATATATATATATATATATGCAAGCAAATCACTGTAGATGCGCGTGATCCAGGTAGTATATGCTGATAACCACAAGGAAAGAAGAAAACACGAAGTTCCCAAGCGCTTTCGTGTAATTCACATCTTCAGGGGTGATTACAGACTAAGGAGAAGTACAAAACAAGGTGTATATATACAGAGGAGGGTGTGGCATTTAAAAACTCCTGCACTGTTAAACAAAAATGTTAATCAAGAACTCCCCCAACAACACAATTGGTTGCATTTATAAAATTCCTTGCAAGGAATGTAATATGTTTTGCTTAGGCCAGACAGGTAAAGATCTTGTAACTAGACTTAAACAACATAAATATAGTGTTAGGACAGGCCAGGAATCCAATGCTCTGTTTGTTCATCTGACAGTAGGAACATCATAGAATCTAGTCTCATTAAACATACCGAAGCAGTCAACATGAATTTGAGTAATGGCATGTACAAACTGGACAATTTTGTAATTAAGAAGATTTGTAACCAGGTGAGAAGATTGGGTCACTTTACCCTCGGGCCTGACTACCGACCGTTGCTGTGCTTTTTAAAGATTAGTAGGGTCATTACCTAATACCTGACCATTGTGGACCTGATCTCACCCTCCTCTGTATATATATACACCTTGTTTTGTACTTCTCCTTAGTCTGTACTCACCCCTGAAGATGTGAATTACACGAAAGCGCTTGGGAAATTCGTGTTTTCTTCTTTTCTTGTGGTTATCAGCGCATATATATATATATATATATATATATATATATATATATATATATATATATATATATATATATATATATATATATATATATATATATATATATATATATATATATATATATATATATATATATATATATATATATATACACGTTTTTTGGATTGTACAAGTTTGTCACAGTTTATGTGATTGTGACTATGTCTACGAAGTTTAAGGGTGAGCTGGCTTCGGTGTTGCCTTACTTGGCAAAGAGGTCAGTTGGAATTACAAAAACGAAATGGGCCATGTCCCTAATAACTGAATACCAGAAGAATCAGGATCAAATACCATTTTGGATTTTGTAGATTAGATATTGTAGAAACAAATGGTTCACACGTCATGAGAGGAAAGCTTCAAGGGTTCATTGACTTACAGTATCAATTACCTCTAGTGGTTGGATGAAATGAATCATGATGTCAAGCATAGATTGTCTAGTATTCACCAAGTGAGGTGGAGTTTGAAGAAGGACTTGTGTCGACTTCGGTTAACCAAAATATTGTCTCTTGCCAGGTACTTTTTCATAAGCCTTTCCGTAGTTCCTAACTTTTCGTCAGGGGAAAGACTATTTCCAGTTTCAGGGTCTTCCTTCTGGTCTTTTGGTGGATCTCAAGTTTACAGGGAACTTTCTACAGTAATAATCGAGCTTCTTCAACATTGAGTAATTTTCTATTTGGATGACTCAGGTATAAGTGCATCCATGGGGCCCGTTAGGCACAATACTAATAATATGGTCAGGATACTGAGTAGAACTGTTTTTTATTTTTTTCACCTGAACTCATATTTTTTCCAATGCATTTATCTCGCAGACAGTGCGAGAATAAAGTAGAGACAGGTTTTGTAGGCTAGGTTGTGGACCTGGGTATACTATATTATAGGCTAGTAGTGCAGAGTATGGTTCAGCCTCTTAAGACTTGTTGCAGGCATACTTTGAACTCATCCCCTTGGAAACTTCAGTCAACTTTCATATGGTAGTTGGATTTATGTATCTAGTGATTTGTTTGTTTCGACAAATGTCTCACGCTTCTAAAGAAACTAGAAGTTAATATGAAGGAGGTCTTCATCCTTCATTTCCATCTCAGTTACATGAGTAAGAAGGCTGCATTTTTTTTTGATTGATGACAGTCAGCAGTAGCATTTACAGTTATACAGTATTTAAAAGGAAGGTTTCTTTATAGGTAATTTTAGAGCCAATTGTTTATTTTTGTGATGAAGCTTTCCTGCTCCGTAATGCCCTTGAGCCTGTAGCAATAATTTGATTTCATAAAGATCAGTTGATCTTTATGAATAATATAAAAATACGTTATGAAATAGAAATAAATAGTATTGACAGTTTTTGTCGTGATTCTTTTGTATTTTGTTCAATTAGTCGTGGCCGATGAGGTGACGGTGGTACGCCTACAGAGCATGGAGATGGCGTCTCATGAAAGCTACGTTGATAGCGGAGGAAATGCCATCCCGGATCTCACTCAGGTAATACTTTTATACAAGCACAAGACAACGCCTTAAACCCAGCCTTTGCATTTCTTGCATAGGAGTATAAATCAAAGACTGGATAAGCCCTTTTTGTGCAATGACAAGGCCCCTATTATTTTTTATGTTAATCTTGATGGAATCCTATACAGCATTCCAGTGCCAAATCAAGTTTGGTACTAATTTGTGTGATAGTTTCATTCCTGTTCACCAACTCCGGCAGTGGACTGTCTGTGTACGGCTACGACTCTTCCACTTGGCTCGCCTCAACACCATCTTCAGCTACACCACCGGCGAGCACTACCAGGAGATTATGCTGGGTAAGATATAGGATATATCAAACTGCAATTGATTAAACTCCTTACACCTTCTTTTACTTATGATATTAGTTAACTGTAACATTTATTAGAATGCAATTTCGTTATGCTTTCCACTATCGTTATCAGAATGTCACTTCCTGAATACTAATACTACAACTACTACTTTTTTTTTTCAACGTGGCCTCCAGCCTCCCCCAATAGCCATACCTTCGCCACCATTTAATTACCTTAATATTAAATATCCTAATACATAAGTAGCTATCCTTTCTGTGTTGAATTAGTTGAGCCGCAGATCTATGCCGCATTTAGTGACTGTAGCCTCATAGTCAATATCTGCAGCAGTTGTCGGAATTGGGGCAGAAGCTCTCGTTCCCCTGAGGCAGAGCAAAGCCGACCGAAGGAGAGAGAAAGACAGTCGACATCTCATCCAGGCTGTAACATAACTTCTGGGCTGCTGCTTCTGTTCGGAGATCACCTCCGCGAGTCTGGAGTAGAAACATCTTGTACTTGGTCCCATCCCACCAGAGGTTGTGAACACTAGAGGAGTGAAGCTGCCTTGATCAACGTTTTGAATTTTCTCCCCATATGCCCTTCTCTTGTCATTCTCATTCCTCCTATGTGCAGCATCGAGAGCTAGGTTATGGTGACATGCGGCCATGGGATCACAAATCCTGATGTCGAAGAAAGCTCGCTGTCCCTGTGTCCAGAATCCTCGAGCACTGACGTCAACACGGGCTTCGTTAGATGTGTTTGAAGTCCAATGTTGGAAGTTCTCACCATCCAATGGAAAGAGGGTTTGTTCTACCATGACATCCCGGCAGATTTCCTTCAACATATTTGCTGTGAGGTCCCTCACTTCGTCATGCTTCATGCATATGAAGCCCCCTTTCTTGCACACCATGACGTGATCGCCGTCATAGGAAGAGCCACACACGCATTGGGAGGGCAAACATTCTACTGGCCGATCGTACCTTAGAGCAATGGCATCTGTAAATTCTTGTTTGTTAAGACTGAAACCATTTGCCCTTATCGGTAACGTAGTTAACCAGTTCGAGGCGCCCACCTCCTGCGCTATAGCTACTTTTTTTCAAATTTTCTGGTACCTGCAACAATAGTTGCTGCAACTTATCATTTTGGCAGTGCTGTCGATCTGTCGTAATGAACCTACGAATCTTGGTTACTTCACTGGTATCCACCTTCCCTGTTGCGTTCTGGACTATTATGTGGTCCGTGAGGGCTGCCGTGAGCTTAAGTGAATTTTGATGTTTGGTGGCTGCAATCTCCTCTGGATTGGTTAGTCCCATCCCACCCAGTCTTGATGGAAGTGCAAGAAGTGCTCTTTCTGCTGGGGTAAAGTAAGGGCGTTTCACTAATTTGGGAATGAACTTGGCACTGATAGCTTCTTCCAGAGGGTGGAGGAGGGGTCCGGTATCAGGGATAGTACGCATCAGGTAGTTCCAACGATAACTTGACTCCATGGGTGAATGTAGCAAAACCCGCATGTGGCTCTGTTTTAGCAATCTCAAACAGAGCTTGGATTTCACTAACCCACTCATTCACCTTTCCCGCTACGTATTCGGTCTTGAAGTCCGTAGTGCCATTTACTGCACCTAGATGTCTTTGGCCATCCTTAGTTATTTTGACCTCACTTCCGCCAAAAACCTCCATTGCCCGTTCATAATGTTCTGGCTTCACGATGAGGAAGCACTTGCTGGCGTTTGGGTGGTACCCTATTTGTGGACCTCGCGATGTTACCAAGTCCCACCACTTTTTGATGCCCTCCACTTTTACTACTACTTCTACTACTTTTAGTTTAATCGTGGCCTCCATGCTCCCCCAGTAGCCACACCTTCACCGCCATTTTATTACCTTTAATTAAATATCCTAATACAAAAATAGCTACTGTAGCTGCGTTGGGTTAGTTGAGCTGCAGATCTATGTGGCATTCAGTGACTGTTGCCTCATAGTCGATATCTGCAACCGTTGTCGGCTTTGGGGCCGATGATCTTGTTCCCCAAAGGCAGAGCAATGCAGACCTAAGCAGAGAGAAGGACAGTCGACATCTCAACCAGGCTGTAACGTAACTTCTTTGGCCCATCCCATCAGAAGTTGTGAACACCAGAGAAATGAAGCTGCCCTGATCAGCATTCAGAATTATCTCCCCATATGCCCTGATCTTGTCATTCTCGTTCCTCCTGTGCACAGCGTCGACAGCTAGGTTACGGTGACTTGCGGCCATGGGATCGAAAATACTTATGTCAAAAAAGTCTCGCTGTCCCCGCGTCCAGAATCCTCAGGCACTGACGTCAACACGGGCATCGTTGGATGTGTTTGAAGTCCTGTGATAGAAATTCTCACCGACCAATGGAAGGAGGCTCTGTTCTACACTAACATCATTGCATATTTCCTTCAACATATTTGCTGTGAGATCCCTTACTTCGTTATGCCTCATGTGTACGAAGCACCCTTTTTTGCACACCATGGCGTGGTCATTGTCATAGGAAGAGCCACATACGCATTAGGAAGACAAACATACTGAAACATTTTGCCCATATCGTTAACGTTGTTAGCCAGTTCGAGGCGCCCACTTCCTATGCTATAGTTACTTTTTTTCAAGTTCTCTGGCACTTGCAGCATCAGTTGCTGCTGCTTATCACTTTGGGTGTGCTGTTGATCTGCTGTAATGGACCGTCGAATCTTGTTTAATTCCTTGGTATCCACCTCACTTGTTGCATTCTGAGCTATAATATGCTCAGTCTTAGTGATAGAGGAAGGATTGACCTTTTGGAATAAAATTGATGCTAATTGCTTTTTCCAGAGGGCGAAGGAAGGGTCCGATATCACGGATAGTGACGATCTGGTAATTCCTACGATGCCGCAAAAGCAGCACGAGGCTCTGTTTTAGTAAAATCAGACAGAGTTGGCTTTCCTTCACCCACTCATTTACCTTTCCGTTATGTAATCGGTCTTGAAGTCCTACATGCCAATTACCGCAACTACGTGTCTTTGGCCTTCCTCTGTTATATCGACCTCACTTCCACCGAACACCGCCATTGCCCGTTCATAGTGTTCTGTCTGCACAATGAGGAAGGACTTGCTAGCAATTGGGGTGTACCCTATTTGTGGACCACGTGATACTACTTCTACTACTACTACTACTACTTCAACTAATATTTTTTTTTAATATTAATGGCCTCCAGCCTCCCCCAATAGCCACACCTACGCCGCCATTTTATCACCTTGAAATTAAATATCCTAATACATAAGTAGCTACCCTATCAGTGTTGAGTTAGTTGAGCCGCAGATCTATGCGGCATTCAGTGACTGTTGCATCGTAGTCAATATGTGCAACTGTTGTCTGCTTTGGTTCTGATGCTCTCGTTCGCCTGAGGCAGAGCAAATCCGACCTAAGGAGAGAGAAGGACAGTCGGCATCTCATCCAGGCTATAACATTACTTCTGGGCTGCTGCTTCTGTTTGGAAAGCACCTCCGCGAGTCTGGAGTAGAAACATCTTGCTCTTGGTCCCATCCCACCAGAGGTTGTGAATACTAGAGGAGTGAAGCTGCCTTGATCAACGTTCTGAACTCTCTCCCCGTATGCCCTTATATTGTCTTTCTCGTTCCTCCTATGTGCAGCATCGAGAGCTAAGTTACGGTGACATGCGGCCAAGGGATAAAAAATCCTGATGTCGAAGAAGGCTTGCTGTCCCCGTGTCCAAAATCCTTGAGCACTGACGTCAACACGGGCTTCGTTGGATGTGTTTGAAGTCCTGTGATGAAGGTTCTCACGGTCCAATGGAAGGAGGGGCGGTTCCACCATGTCGTCGTGGCAGATTTCCCTCAGTAGATTTGCTGTTAGATCCCTTACTTCGTCATGCCTCATGCACATGAAGCCCCCCTTCTTGCACACCATGGCGTGGTCGATGTCATAAGATGAGCCATACACGCATTGGGAGGGCAAACCTTCTACCGGTCTACTGTACCTTAGAGCAATGGCATCTGTGAATTCTTGTTTACTAAGGATGAAGCCTTTTGCCCTTATCGGTAATGTTGGAAACCAGTTTGAGGCGCCTACCTCCTGCTCTATAGCTACTTTTCTTTTCAAGTTCTCTGGCACTTGTTGCAACAGATGTTGCAGTTTACCACTTTGTGTGTGCTGACGCTTTGTCGTAATGGACCGTGAAATTTTGTTCAATTCTTTGGTATCCACCTGACTTGCTGCATTCTGATCTATTATGTGCTCAGTGAGAGCTGCTGTGAGCTTGACAGAATTCTGATATTCTGTACGGTCAAGCTCCACTGGATTAGTCAATCCCATTCCTCTTAGTCTCGGTGGTAGTCCAACGAATGACCTTTCTGCTGGAGTTAAGTAAGAGTTTTTCACTAGTGTTGGGATAAAAGCGACATTGATGGCTTCTTCCAGAGGGCGGGGGAGGGGTCCGACATCAGGGATGGTGTGCATAAGGTAATTCCAGCGTTGCTTGACTCCATGGGTGAATGCCTACAGAGCATTGATTTCCTTCACTCACTCATTCATATTTCCCGTTACGTACTCGGTCTTAAAGTCATTCGTGTCAATTACCGCACCTAAATGTCTTTGGCCATCTTTTGTTATTTGACCTCATTTTCACAGAATACCTCCATTGCCCGTTCATAGTGTTTTGGCTTCACAATGAGGAAGGACTTGCTGCCGTTCAGATGCTACCCTATTTGTGGACCGCGTGATGTTACCATGTCCCACCACTTTTTTATGTCCTCCACTTTTCCTGCTCCTGTTAGGTCATCAGTGTATGCCACTTGCTTGACCACGGTTGTTTCATAATTTATTGTATGTTGGAGCGCAGACAGGCCTAGTGCGTACATTGCTTTGGCGACAGGGTCCCGTTGCATTGTTCCCTCAATTGGCTGTATGATGGTATCTCCTTTCAGGGCCTTGAAGCTTGTTATATAGAGGTCTGATGGGTTCCTATAGGTGTTTTCAACATACATTGCAAAGCTTGGACACTTGATCTTGATGTTGTGCAGTCTAGCATTGTGGTTGAGTATGTTGAATGCGTTGGAAGCGTAGACCAGAAGTACTGTCTCACAATCACGCTGCTCATGGCATGAATGGCAGCTTCCCCTCCAGCCTGGTGGCCAGCACATACTTGCAGGTTCCCTGCAGCTGCCCTGATATCATCATTTACCACCTTCACTATTCATTTTCCAATGATCCGCCAAAGCATTTCTCCCATTCCTATAGGCCGACATCCTGGATTTTTATCCAGGGGAATGAGACGGCAGGCCGTCAGAGCATAAAGTTGGTGGTAACACGAGGTTGCTAGCTTTCTTGCAGGGGCGGCGATGCCATTGCTATGTCACCAAACTTGTTACTGCTGAGATGACTCTCCAACCGTTTGCATCCAGGCCTGAAGGGCCAACTCCTACCTGAGTTTTCAGTGCTTTTTTCCACACCATCCCTCCTGTTATTTTCTCGAACAGGACAGCATTTGGAGGGGTATAGGCTCCCTGGAACCTGATGCCTTCCTCTTCACTTGTAGGGGGACATTTTTCCTTTAGTTGTTGTAATGTCTCTCTGTTTATTGGCAGAACACCACAGGAAAATTCCTCTGTGAGCGATCTGACTGCCAGGGAAACTTTTCCTCAGGCATTTTGTTACCAAATTTTCTAGCAACATCCTCCGTGTTTTGCTTTCTGTCTCCTATGAATTTTAGACTCTCCTGCATTGTTCTTGGATCGCGTAGGAGATCATCAAGGGCCCCTTTCTGCCACATTGTCATTCACTATTATTGCTGTTTTGATTATTTTTTTATTAATGAGCATTGTTTTCTTCTATATCTGTCTAGTATTCTGACTGTTGATTGTAATTATTATCATATTAATTGGATTACTTACAATTTCCAACTAACAATTTTTTTTATAAATATTCCTCTAAATTTCTTTATCATTTGTACACAGCTAAAATATTGTCTTTATTCTTTGTCTGAAGGTATTGACTGGCCTCAGTCCAACCTGCGGCTGGAGTGTTGTAAGTACACGGGGTTTATGGAGATGGCGGTACCTCTCCGCCTGTACACTTGGCACCAGATATGTCTGTCTGTGGACATGACCAAGGACGTCCAGTACATGATCTTCGACGAACTGGTGAGTCACCCATTTTCAAGTAGTGATACGTCTTAGCTTCCAATTTTAACCCAGAAGCACGGGTCAGGGTCTGCCCTACGTACAAGCTTCAGAATTTTTGTCTTCTCATTTTCTTCAGTCTACAAGCAGCGGCTCATAGTAGGTAGGGAGTAAAAATCTGCCAATTCATGTTTTAAAACTTTAAAAATAAATTTGTAACACTCGATTCATCGAATTTCATCGAAGAACAATAGGAATAAAGAAAAGTTTATCTAAGAAAATATAACTACATATTATCAATATACACACACGCACACACACACATATATATCGAATCCTGGCGGGGTGAGGTGTTGATTATATATAGAAGTCCGCGTGCTTTATTGGGCTAATGAAATATATATGGATCCTCGTGTTTTGAAGCCGGATTTGGTAAAACGTTACTCTGACCACCTAAGTGATACGGGTAGTCCCCATTAGAGGTTCGCGGCGCCATAAGCTCGTTGAACAGGCTTTGTGTGAAATATAACAGAGTCTAGGACTGCTTTTAGTATCCTGGTGGTCTAGAGGTAGCGTTCCCCGGTCACAGTCGTGGGCCGTGGGTTCGAATCCTGGCGGGGTGAGGTGTTGATTATTTGTAGAAGTCCGCGTGCTTTATTGGGCTAATGAAATATATATGGATCCTCGTGTTTCGAAGCCGGATTTGGTAAAACGTTACTCTGACCACCTAAGTGATATACGGGTAGTCCCCATTAGAGGTTCACGGAGCCATAAGCTCGTTGAACAGACTTTGTGTGAAATATAACAGAGTCTAGGACTGCTTTTAGTATCCTGGTGGTCTAGAGGTAGCCTCCAAACAACGCCATCGATGGGGGGGGGGGGGCTGTAGCATTTTGAACTTAGCCTATAGAAAACTAAATGCAGTTATCGAATTAATGTAGACTCGATTCATGAAGTTAAGGGACAATTATAAAATTTTAAGTTATTGTGGAGAGTTTCCCAGTCTAAATATGTTACTTGTGTCCCAAAGAAACTATTAGTAATAAGCGAAAGATGATGTCATTGGGTGAAAGCAGGCGAACGCCCTGGGGGATGCGGCGGTGACGGGCGAGAGTAGCTCTCAGGCATTTGACCCAGATGGACGTCTTCTACGCATTCTGCAAAGGAAAACTACCACGTGGCCTCATTCATTCCCATGCATGTTTCATCAGTGTTGTCCGTAAGTTTTTATTCGATCTCAGACAGTGTTTCGATAGGGAGGAGAAGAATTTAACAGTAGCTAAAAAAGTGATCCTTTTTCAGGGTTACGAGAACCCACTTGGTTAGTGGTGGTTTGGAAGATATAGCTGGCAACGCACGAGGCGAACAGGTGTCTCTAACGACTAACTATGTGGGACCAGCATCCTCACTTTGTTAGGTGGTCGATCTGGTTCATTAAATCTCCCCACCTTGGTTCATACAACACCACATCTCTTCAGTCTGTCAGTGAAAATTCTTACTAACAGGAAAGTAGAACCCCTCCCTCAGCTGGTTGTACTCTGAACTGGGCTAACTAGGCGGGCTGACGGTCACTCTCTTCCTGTCTATGAAGTACTGGGAGTAAACTGAGTGCAGACTGAGTGATTGAAAGGTCACATGCTGGGACCGGGAGTCTAGTGGTTACTTAGAGACATTCATCTCCCCAGTATTGGGTGTATGTGATTAAACTAACCAAGCCAAGGTGTATAATCAATGCTCCTCATGCTTGATTGCACACGTGGGACGTAGGGGTTCCTCTTCAAAGTTGGTGAAAGGTTGTAACACCTTAAAGTACGGGTGTATTCTGAGCATATGTGTGAAGCATGTTACGGGTGGTGGTGGTGAAATGTGATTAGAATATCCAAGTCCAGGTGTGAGATCAACGTTCCTCGTGGTTGATTGCACACGTGGGACACAGGAGTTCCTCTTTAAAAGTTTGTGAAAGGCTGTTAGTACCTTAAGGTACGGGTGCATTCTGAACCTATGTGTGAAAGCATGTTACGGGTATTGGTGGAGAAATACACTCATTAGAGGAGCACCCGCCATTTGGCAGGTTAGTAGTTACAACCTTCGGGTTCTGGTAGTTAGGACAGTTAGGATTATAGTATTTTGTGGGTCATCCCAGACAGGCTATGGGTGATCCATGTTCTTGTGTAGTATGTCTAAAATCGGGATTTCTATTCCTCAGTGATTACAATAATTTTGTCGGATGCCCTCAAGGCATGTTCATCGGTGCAAGTAATATTTTTTAATGTCTTATGTGCCACTAAGTGATGTAGGATGTACGAAGGAATTGTTTCAGAGGAGGTCCTCGTTCTGGTGTCTGTTCTGGTGTATATAGTACTGCTGCATTAGTAATCCTTTCAGATGATCATTAATATCTTTTAATAATTTTTTGATACCATGTATAACTTTTGTTTCCCATTGTAGTGTTGTAAACCACGCTAAGAAGTACTCTAGTGCTTGTGTACAATTATTAATTTCGTCTGTAGTGTTGGAAGGAATAGAAGTGTCATCTTTACCAGTGCGTCTCATTAACCCCAATCACAGGTATTAGCTTTCCACTGTCACGGAAAATACTTTTATTAATTGTATTTGTGCTGGTTCGGGGTTTTCTCTGAGGGGCGCTTCCACTGCATTACCATCAACTATAACTAAAAAATTTTTTTTAACTAAAAGTGAGATTATTCCTACCGGTTACACACACACACACACATATACATACATATATATATATATATATATATATATATATATATATATATATATATATATATATATATATATATATATATATATATATATATATATATATATATATATATTTCATGTAGATCCACAATGACAACGTGGATAAGATAAATCTTGATAAAATCACACGGGAAGAAGGAAACAACGGAGTACCTTAGCTTTCGTCTTTATTCAAGACATCTTCAGAGGCAACTGGATTACATGGACAGAGAGAGGCTTAAATATACAGGGTGACCTAAAAACATGAGGTCAGGTCAAAATGATATATATGCAAGTAAATCATTGTAGGTGCGCGTGATCTACGTATATGCTGATAACCACAAGGAAAGAAGATAACACGAAGTTCCCAAGCGCTTTCGTGTAATTCACATCTTCAGGGGTGAGTACAGACTGTACTCACCCCTAAAGATATGAATTACACGAAAGCGCTTGGGAAATTCGTGTTTCTTCTTTCCTTGTGGTTATCGGCATATATATATATATATATATATATATATATATATATATATATATATATATATATATATATATATATATATATATATATATATATATATATATATATATATGTGTGTGTAATAATAATAATAATAATAATTAAAGGTTTATTGAAAAAGTTCTGCAGCCCGAGGGCTGAAAATATACATTGGACATAAATGACTTATTACATACATTGGTGGTTTAACAAAAGCCTTCATTAGAGAAAAGTAAAGGAACATACAGTGAACATGCAGATTAATGTAGGTGTTGAACAGCAAACACGTAGTGTAGTAACTCTCTACCAGATAGTGTTAGGAGGGACCTCACGTGGTGTAGTAGTTCTCTGAGATGATATTATGAGGGACCTCACGTGGTGTAGTAATTCCCTCACAGATGGTGTTATGAGGGACCACGTGGTGTAGTAATTCCTTCACAGATGGTGTTATGAGGGACCTCACGTGGTGAAGTAATTCCCTCACAGATGGTGTTATGAGGGGCCTCACGTGGTGTAGTAATTCCCTCACAGATGGTGTTATGAGGGGACTCAC